AATAAAGGTGACGACTGTGAATGGAACTTCTACTTGTGAATGTCTGGAAGTAAATTTAGAGGTATTTTCATTAGATGAGCGGGGTTCTATAAAGATCAACAAGGCCTATACGATCAAGAAACTTCCGATCGATTATGCAGAACCTTTAACCGAACTCCAGCTGAGAAAGTGGAAACATTTAAAGGACATAACTCTACCGAGGCTGCAAAGTAATCTAGTAGGAATATTGATTGGGTGTGATGCTCCAGATGCACATTGGGTCCTTGAACAACGCCTGGGAGACAGGAAGCATCCGTTTGGTGTGCGTACTCATCTCGGTTGGATGATTTTAGGTCCTAAAGAAGCATCGAGGTCTTTACATCAAGTTCAGTGGTGTCATTGTTCTACTAATGATATTTTGCGAGATATAGAAAGATTATATAATCATGAATTCGAGGATGCAGATGGGTTTCGTAATGAATATTCTGTCGAAGATAAAAGAGCTCTAGAAATAGTTAATAGTTCCTTTAGACTGGAAGGTGGCCATTTCCAAGTTGGTCTACCCTGGAAGTATGATAAGCCAAGGCTACCGAATAATTTGGAACTAGCTGAACGTAGACTAGAGTGTTTAAGGAAGAGGTTTATGAAGGATAATAGTCTTCTGGAGAAATATCAACTTGTAATGAGTAAACATTTAAGTAAAGGCTACATCATTGAAGCTAGTAAGGAGGAATTCGACCGTGATGCTGTTTGTTGGTATATTCCTCATCATCCTGTTATCAACCCTAAAAAGCCTGGAAAATTAAGAATTGTTTTTGATTGTGCAGCTGTCTATCAAGGTTGTTCTCTTAACGATCAGCTTTTGAGAGGACCTAATACTGTAAATAGTTTAATTGGTATACTTCTACGATTCAGATTATGCAACGTAGCATTAGCCGCTGACATCGAGGAGATGTTCCTTCAAGTAAAGATCCCGAAACGAGATAGGGGAGCGTTTCGACTATTATGGTGGGAAGACGGTGATATAGGACGAAAGGCTAAAGAATATTGTTTGACAGTTCATCCGTTTGGAGCCGTGTCCTCTCCCTTTTGCGCTAATTTCGCTCTTCGGAAGACGGTAGATATATTCGGAAAGGAATTGAATAAAGATGTCCAGGAAGTTGTAGATAAGAGTTTCTATGTCGACGACTATTTAACATCAATTGATAATGTGCAGGATGCAATCGAGCTTGCAAAAACCCTTGGTTTACTACTCAGAAAAGGTGGGTTCAGACTTACCAAGTGGATAAGTAACTGTTTACAGGTTCTCGAATCAATTCATCCAGAAGAGAGAGCAGAAGCCGTAAAAGAGATTGACTTTGAGAGACTTCCTACGGAACGCACATTGGGATTATTTTGGAATACTATGGTTGATGCGTTTGAATTTAAAGTTCGCATACCGAAATGCCCTCTCACTAGGCGAGGTATATTGTCGAGTGTAGCTTCATTATACGACCCCTTGGGATTGTTAGCACCATTCACACTTCCTATGAAGCAGTTACTTCAACGTTTGAGTAAATTGGGACTAGGATGGGACGAAGAGATTCCAAGTGAGGAAGGCAAACGCTGGTTAGAGATTTTAAGTGGATTTCAGAGGGTTGAGAACGTTAGTTTTCCACGCTGTGTATTATTTCCACAATCAGATCGCTCGCTCCTGGAACTTCATATTTTCTGTGACGCCTCGGAAATTGGATATGGGGCAGTGGCATACATCCGTTCTTACATCGATGCTACTATTATTAAGAAGCCTAAACTTCGTTCTCTTTCGGATGCTATGACTAGCAATGGAAATAGTAGTCATCGGAATCTTAGTAGTGACAGCGATAGTAAGGAGACAGAAAGTGTGAGCAGTCCACCTATAGTGACTAGTCGATCAACTTCATCGAATGAGCCTTCTATTGATTTGACGTCATCGGGCCCTGTCGCGAATGTTAAGTTGATTGAGGATACACAAGGTTGTGTAACTGTAAGTGTTCCTACTTCGGTTGACTGTCAGTCAAGTGATGATGAGAAGGAAGTGTCTGATGGTAACAGCCAGTCTACAGTGTTGCATGATAACGATGCTATTGACGTGCATATGTCGTGTGTCTCTGAAACGGAACATGAAGAACAACAAGTGAGTTTATCGGTTTTGGATTGTGACACTTATGCTGTTCTTTCATGTAGAGAGATGGGTTATACCACAATGGAAGAGTTTCACTCTACGGATGCTAGTGCAGACCGAATCGACGCGACCTGTCTGACACAATGGAATCATGATGACGATGATAATAATCTGGATGTCACTGATGTGACAAATGAGTTGCCGACGATGACGAATGCTGATCAAACCTCCTCTGTACCAGGAGATGGAGAGTTGAATATTGTCCCTATGTTATGCCACTTAAAGTCTTCGGGAGACGAGGAAATGTCAAAATTGGAGATCCCACCCTCGCATATAATCTATGGGTCAAGAGCTTCTGTTGATAAGTCAGCATCACGGGCTTCATCGTATGTGCTGTTCGGAGTAATGATTGGTGGATTGACGACTCAGCCCCATGAGGTGGAAGGTAAATCTCTGAGAGGATTCGACCAGCTTTACGATGTGTAGTACATGTTCATGTGGGTTAATTGGATAAGGTTTATAATACCGTTCGGTCATGCTACGATAGATAGGGGAATCAAGGATCTGATGGGAATGTACAGGTACCTAGTAAGTTTGATAGGTCATATCCATGTTGGAGGGCGGGTACTGCTGTAAGTCCTGCTCGTTCTTCCGGTGTGGATTAGGGGATGAGAATGAACCGTAAATTGAAGTGTTAGAAAGGGCTTGTTTTGCTTAGAGGGATTTTGTGGGCCGGTGTAGAATCTATATTGAATGTTTGTTGTCGATTGCTTGTGATGCACATACTTGGATTGTTGTTACCTATTTTTGTCGGTGAAAAGAACCAAGGTTCTTTTGATCGGGAGTGTTACGGGAGGAATGAAGGCATTTGGCTAGTTAAAACCTTTATATAAATATCATTAATTCCACTGTTTTTTTGGTTATATTTGTTTTACTTAACTTATGAACTTATTTGAATTATTATTTTCGGCCATTTTGGACTCCTGTTTGTCTTGGTTGTTCGTTTGCAGTTTTTTGCTCCAACAATCTATAAAATAGAAGGTAATTGTAATTATTATAATTATTGTTGTTAGAACGACATTGGTCGTCTATTTGTAATAACATATTTTGGTCGATTTTGTGATTTGGAATAAACTTTGGTATCGACTTTGGAGTTTCGTTCTTATTTAACATTTGGAATCGTGAATTGCAAATAGATCGACAACCGTGCTTCAAGGGATCAAAAAGCAAAAAACTGGACGTAACACTACAAGCCCACTAAATGTGCATAGTTGCTTGTCTGTGATTGGCTCAGAATGGCATCTGATTTTTTTCTGAACGGCGAATACTTTGCGGGCCACTGATGAACCCAAGAAAGTTAAGGGCATAGGTTCCGATTCAACATTTCAATATGTCAACAGTACTTCTACGTTTTCGAAGTCGTTGGAAGAATAGATCCAGATGCTTGAGATGAGATTCTCTGTCCGCATTCCTGAATAGTCAGTCATAAAAAACAGCATACACAAAGTTGAGGCCTCTGTAAACGTAATCAGTGAATCTCCGGGATGCAATATTTGTTAAACCGAAATGCATACGTCTAAGTCTATAGATTTCGATTAGGGAGAATAATAGCTGTATAGATGTTCGAGTCACGGTACTGTGAACACGTCTTTACACCAGATAAGTTCGGGTCTTACATATTATTGCATATCTTGTGTCTAAGAGATACCAAAAGAAGCTGCAGAGTAACCGAAACAAGATGTGGGCCTCAAAAAAGATGGTGAATGAGCGAATGAGGGAGTGAATAGATAAGGACCAAATTCTCCATGAAGCTGTACATGAGTTTCAGGAAGGCAGGTCATATGAATTCAATCTTCTCATAGAATGGGCCTGCTGGACAACTTGCTGAGGCTGAAAAACACTGATTAAATTAATCTTTTTTGATTTCGCAAAAGCCTTCGACACAGTGCACAATGCGAAGATGGGCTTCAGTGACCCACTTCTATCTTGGCTCAGAATCCACCTTGAGGATTGGAAGTTTCGTACCTAGATAACCATAGCTGGTGAGTCTCAACATCAGGGGACCACTCTTCCTGATATTCATTAACGATCTGTTAGACAGCATTACTTCAGCGGAACTGATATACGCAGACAATTCAAAGATCTGGAATTCCATAAGAAGCGAAGAGGATTCAAATGAGCTTCAAAAGGACCTTACATCAATTGAGAAATGGGCAGTAAAATACAGGTTAGGATGAAATCTGTCGAAATGTCACGTTCTGAACATTCTGCTCAACGTGACACAGAGGACTTTCACCCTTCAACGGAAGTCGGCTCCTTTATATCTCCTTAGAGCGCGATCTCGGTATAATAACCAGAGCAAGCCTCGACACCAGTCCAAACTTCATAAGTAACTCAGCTAAGACTAATATCTATCCTCACTTAGTGTGGAGATGACGTGGCACTTTCTAGAATATTTCTAAACGTTGTTCAAGAAATATACGCGCACACATCTTGAGGTTCAAAACGTCATCTCACCCCGTTTCCTTAAAAAAGGCATAAATCCCTAGAATCAAGTGCAGAGACGAGTAGATATTATTTTTATCCTTTATACTGCAACTGACTGATCTCTGGGCTGATAATGCAGTAGCTGCTAGTATCCGGAAACCCTACTACTTAGAAACAAATGCACTCATTCACACATATTAATTCATAAATAACTGCCAGTTGGTTAGAATTAGTGCAATCGAATGGCTGAACTACCCTCCTTTGGAAACTATCAACTGCTGAGAAATGTACAGAAAGAACAACAATGAACGCAAAGAAATCAACTGGGTTACACCAGCTCGTGTTAAACATATTGGATATTGAAACACCGGCATCTTTCCAAATCCGGACACCAACGAATCACAAATTACTGCGCAATGGACGTAGATAAGTCCAAAACATTGGTAATGTCAATGAATAGCTTTTCATAAAATTTCTAATACTTTTGTATTATTTTGAGATGTATATACAGGTTTTTCTATGTTCTAATTATAACACGGTACAACAAAATTTCGTTCGTCGAAGTGGTAGAGCTATGTTGTGTCAGACAGATTTAATTGATATAACAGACTTAACTGGTATTAAAACTTCATTTATATTATATTACGTATTCAAGAGGATAGTACGTCTAACCGTCGTATATTATCTATCAATTCACGGGTTTACTTATTTTTACAACTTCCTAAACATACACTAACTGTCTTTATTTCCAAAGTATGCCAATTATTTCACAATAAGTTAGTCGTATAGTAGTCAGTCTTAATTTGGCCGTATACACGTACGTACAAAAACTATAGCTTCAACCACTTGTTGAATTGGGAGTCCTTCTGTTTGAAAACTGTCTTTCTAGTCTCCTAGAATTCTTCCGTCTGTTGGGAATAGATTTAAACGTAATTTAGCGAAATAATGGTTAGGAATACAACTTTTTCAGTCATTTATAATGTGCTTGATTGGGTCCCATGGATATTCTTACATTAGGTTTTTCTGATGGATAGAAGACACTGAATTCATTATTGATTACAGTATTAGGTCGCTGCTATTAGGATTTATCTGTTCCTATCAGGAACGTTTCTTTACTTTATATCCATGGCTAAAATATTTAGAGGACACATCTTACCATACTGGACTTCTACTACTAATATCACACAACTATCCTATAATACTGAAGTATCACCGCAGCCCAATGGACTCTAAGCTGAATGCTCAAACAAGTGTTGTGACCACTGAAAAATCGTTGGAAAGCTTTTCTTTATAATCCGTTCTGGACTCATGTTCGGCTAAAAAATAAGAATTTTTATCTCCTTAATATCGATATTTTGTCTCACCAATCCTTTAACACCTAAGTCCCCTCCCTACATTATTTCCTTTTGCAAAGAAAAGCATTGATCATTTTTTCAGAGTGCAGAGAAGGGTTTCTTGATTTGCATGGTCTTGTGTAGGTATTCCTCTATTAAAAATGATTTTCAGATAGCACGTTAAACGGGATATTGTCTGATAAGTTCGAGGATATTGCTTTATTTGAGACAAAAGTTTATCTTATTTGTCAAGTCCTCGTTTTAAACTTGGCTGTACCTACTATGTTTCCGCTGACTTACATATTTTGTCTCTCTATTGCTCAAATGAAGTAATATTTCTTTTGTCAGTATCCGGTCTATTGCTTCTTCTTACTTGATGTGTCGAATTTCTCCAAAAAACTTGGATAAAATTATCTATCATAAAGCCTAATGACGAGCTTGTATACCCCGACATTTAAGGAAAATAATTGTCTGGGGTTTCTTTTCATATGCCTTAAAGGAATAGTTTTTCAAATGTTTTGGATTATTGAGAGGTGAAGTGTACTTTGTGACAGAAGCTTTATATGTTTCTTATTACTGACATCTCAGTCATGAGCTTTCTCAGTTAGTAATTTTCATTGTTGGATTTAGAATTTTTCATTTCTTTGTGCTTTAATGACATTCACTATGATGAAACCTATCGATCGTAGTATGGTGTTTTATAAGAATGAATCCCTTAACTTATAGTGTGGCAGTCACTGTTTCGCCAGTCTGTAAATGTCTGGAACCTTTTTAAGTGCTTTTAATACGGCTACATTTAATTTATTCAGAATTTGAGTTTCTGAAAAGAGGAAGAGATGAGCTTATTTTTTAAGTTATTCAGGCTTTTCAGTCAAACAGCTACAAAGTATGTTTCGGTACGTATGTACGTTAGTTCAAGTTGCTAAACAAAATGCGCACAGAGAGATCAAAGTTTCAATTCCAATTCCATATTGGTAAAGACAGTAGCGGTATTAGATGTAATCGAAAAGATTAGGGTTCGAAAATATCATTCGAGAAGTATAATAAAGTGGAATAAATTAAAAAAAGGAAAGATAAAGGTGATGACGTATTCGGAAGATCCTGATTCGAGAGAATACAGAGAATGTACGCATCTGCGCCAATGCAAATGATTTTGAGCCATATCATTGAAGGTCTCTAACCGTCGGTTATTATAGTCTGGCGGACCCCAACTTGGTAGTCTACACCAATTGATATGGCTCAGTAAAGTTGTTAAATACTTCATCGACTGGTACCATGTTTCGGTTTAGTCGCCCCTGGCTTTTATCCAGACTATCATGCATATGACAATATTGTTTGTCAGGTTAGTCGGTGGTTAGATATATGTCACACGTCCAAACAACCTCAAATGATGAAGATTCACCACTTCATTTGATTTGCCACCCTTTCCTGGTACCCTTTTCCGAACCCTAGAATCGCTTACACGGCGATCCCAGGATATACGATAGATTCTTTAAAGACAATGCTGATCGAATACTAGTCTTTTACTCTTGCTGGCTAGGGAGTAGGATGGAGAGAACTGGTGCTCAGTAGACTCGTCCTTGGGTTAGTAGATGGATGTCTCAGTTAGGCCATAAGTGACGCAAGTTGACAAAAGCCAGTTGGGCTTTTTATACCCTTGCCCAGATTTCGTCACATATCACTCCCCCAGCACTAATTACACTTCCAAGATATGTGAAGCGAACCATACAGTAATTGACTCACTACCGCTTGTGTCCGGAGCCGACGCAAGCCATCACTGCGGCAAAGTTTTGTACTTCAGGCTTTTTCAGATTGCGATTCCTAGTCAGTTCACTTCCCAGGCCTAAACTATCTAAAAGAAAGTTTAGTTAATTTTAAAAGCCAATTAGGAAACCGTCACAGTTGCGTTTCGGTTGGGGTACACAACCTTTACCTGGTAGGTTGTAAGTTTGAACCCAGCTGCACCTACCTTGATTTGAGACATCACGTGGTAGTATTAGAATTAACGCCAAATGTATCCTTCAAAACCGAGCACATGGACATTTGTTCGACAAATATATCACATTAGTCTATTATGGAGTTCAAAATATATACGTCTGAAGTCATATATTTCATTACAGTAGCTTAATTAGAAATAGATATACCACTCAACATTGGTTAGCTAATTACCACAGATCTTTTAATTTTAAGGCAGCCATTTACATGGTTTGTTGTAAAACTCATAGTTAATGTACTTGAAATTAGGTAACTTTGAGATCCTCCCCCCCTTATATCTATACAACAACTCATTTGGTTTAAAGTTGTAACTATCTACGTAACTTAGTTCTATGAATTATTACCATTCTTAATAAATTGTTATTTATAGCTAGATTATTAAATAAATAAAATTGAAGTTTCACTACTATATTTCAGATGATTCTATCGTAAAGTGTAAATCTTTAAAAGTGATATTTCATCTTCAATAATATATATCTTGTTACGTTAAGGCCATAGCTTAATTGTCTAAAAATCCGATTTGGAATCGATATGATACAGACTTAATTGGAATTCATTTTTTTAACCTGACAGTACGTGTTTGTTCTGCTTAATTAAATAAAATAGTATGTTATGAATGACTTGTGATAACTAGTTTTTCAGAATAGAAAGCCAGTGAATATATAGTCTATTTTATTTTATTTAAGACACGTTCATAATAGACATACATATATTGCCACAATAATAAGTTATAATCTCATTATCTATAGTTTTTTCATGTATATGTCTATGAGTACGAAGGTTTACTTATTTTGTAGAGTTTTTTTTCGCATATTAAGCTTATGATACCTCTAAATACTTGATATTTGAGCCCAAATAGAATCAAAGTTCTGTAGGAAAATGAAAATGAAATTTGTAAAGTGCATATATACTGATATATAATGGTATAAAACGTTAAAAGGTTAGTACTTGTCTAGTTCTACACATTTTTAAAAGCGTATTGACAATATGCAGTTGTGGTCCTTGGTTAGAACCTTGAACTTAGTCATTGAAATTCAGATGCCTTAATTTCAAAGCTACCACTCCTTTGTAGGAGTACTGATGGAGCTGAGTGTATTCATGTGCCATACAATCAGCTCTTTTTGGTGAGGTTTCGTTCTCAGAGCTGGATGTTTTGGTTGCGGAGCTCTCATTGTTCTTCTAAAAAACTTTATCAGCACAAACTTCAGACAGACTTCTATTTATAAACTTCTAACATTGTTCAGAAGAACGATGAAAGCTCCACAACCAAAACATCTAGGTAAGAGAACAAAACACCACCACAATCATCCATTTGAGCTACAAATTTTCTCAACCATCTCACTACTAGCTCTCTTTTAACCTAACGTATACTAATAGAGCAATGCAATAACTCATGGTTTTTGATAATATAAAGATACTTTAAAACTACAAGAACACTATCAGAGCGTTAGGTTTCTAGTGTAACCTGTTTTTTACGAAACACGAATGATCATGCTTATTTCCTAAAGGAATTAAAATACCAATAGCATTTCTTCTTAACTACCTAAATTTCTAAAGTTTTTAGTATTTATTCAGTAATTACTGGCTTAATGTGAACACCTTTTTTATTCGTAATTTTACCAATGGTTTTGGTTATTATACTTTTAACGATGTAATTCAGTTCATCAAAGACTTCTGACTGATCTGGCAACAGTTAAAACGAATACCTTTCGAACATGTCACACGCCAGTTAGAGTGAGTATTAACAAAAGTTACTGTCAAAATGACTCATACCACTAATATGAACAATGAAAAATGTTCTATCAAAATAACGATTTATGCAGGTATATACATGTGAATTATGTGACTGAGTAATAGCCAGCATAAAATTTCAAATAACCTAATTTAATTCATTTGACTTTTTGAACTTCCTATAACTTATAATATCATTCCATCCATTTCATAGTTGTTGTATACATCATGTTAGTTTCATTTGACCAAAACTCATTTGATTTATATTATAATGAATGATTCTACTCTCTCTCTCTCTCTCAAAATATTACATCATCAGATGGAAATAATCTATAAAAAAAACAATATTGAAATCTTACATTGATTAAGTAGGTGTATTTGTG